CATATTATCTAGAATGTGGCAGAGTTCAATATCAAGTACAGGAGAAACTGCAGAACTCAGTCCAAACTTCAGCCCTCTCCCAGGTATTACCTGACATTAATCTTGTCTCTGAGGTCACATTCCTTGGGAAGACACCACCATGGAGGGGAGAGAAGGGAGGGAGAAGGAAGTGCTCTAGAACACAAGTGTCCGAGTGTCACACTCCTTGCTCCCCACAGCTCCTACTAGGAGGCTAACAAAGCTGTGGAGACAGCACACAATCCTCTTATTTCTAAATCTTGCTTCTCACCTGGACCAAGATCCCTCAGGAATACACTCTTCTTGCCAAACTGAAATAGCATATTTCTCTCCTGAAAAACATTCCAGGATGGATTCTGTTGACTCCAGGATGGGAGCTGTGAGCCATGAAACAGGTTGTTCACTGGCAGCAAGAGAGATGTCCACAAGTGGGCAGTCCACTAATATTTATTATCGAGGACAGCAGAGTGAGGGGGAAAGACAATTAGGTGGAGGGAGCTCTCCAGGCACCTGCTCTCTGGGGTCACATTGCCATAGAGCTTTGGTCACAACTAATCGGCCCCATTTTTTCCATTTCCCTGCTAGTCCACTTTTCCATAGTCCTGGTTAATCTCATGGTTACAGATTTTGTTTTAACAACTTTGATATAATTAACACTGGAGATGTCTTAGGAATTGTCCCATGTCATACATTTATTTTCTAGTTGAGTAAGTTAAACCAGAGGAGCTAAGGAAATAGCCCAAGATGGCACAGCCACTTGCTAAATAACTTCATGACAACAAATGAGATATGTGGACACTCTGCTTACCAAGCACACACATTTTAAATGTAGTAATACATGCATTTTACAATACCCTGACCTGAACTAATCATCATAGCAGCCTGAGAATTATACCAGGACTATTCCCTAATCATAACAGAGGAAACCAAGGCAAGAAGGGATGGATAAAACCTAATCCAGACAGGGCACTGATGCCATGGTAACAACCACAAGCAATGGTGTCAGTCAGTCGGGTTGGATCCAGCTCTTCATTTACTGGTTGTATGACCTGAGCACAGGAGCCCCTCCAAGTCTCAGGCGCTCACCTATACCTACACTGGGCAGATAGTCATAGTTACTACTTTGAGTAGCCCTTTGTGGAGAGAATCCTGTTGGATAATATCTTTAAAGTACTTATCAGAGTGTGTATTACACAGGATGCCTTCTATTAATAGAAGCTGTCATTCATGTATTCTGATATTGATCATTCCAAATCATGCATATTACTCATTCTTCATTAAAACATCTACTTGACATCATGCCACAAAACTTTCTGTCTTGTATCTTTTTTAAATGGAGCTCATCTTCCAGCTGTGATTAGGGATCAGGGCAGTTTTAGACAAAGTCCCATTCTGGTCTTGTTCTGCTTCAGCCAATCTTACTCCCAGGGAGAAAGTAATGGATGGGGCAATGACGTCATTATATAATTTTACACCAGCTATATGTTAGTTTATATATTCCCCCTGGTAAGCACTATAATTTAAATTTTAACTGAATACATTCTTTTTTATAGGAATAAAAATTAGTTTGATTTTAATAGCTTTTGTTGAGTTATATTGGTTGACATCATCACTGAATTACAGGATAGCTGGATCTCCTCCTTCAGCTGTTGCTGCCATAGCTCACCCACCACCAGAGAACCCATAGCCCACACCATTGGCCCTTGTCTCTCCCCAAGTGTGTTCTCTTCCTTCCCCTACTCCCTTTCCCACCTCCAATTTTTGCCACCATTGCACAGTCAGCTTTCAATGTAACTGAATATTTTCTTAAGATAATTTAAAGATGTCCACTAAAGGTCAGAATGGGAATACCAGGCCAAGAAATGAATTTCATATTTCTAGTCAGTAGGAGCTATTTTTGCTCCACAAGTCATGCTTCATGAGATACATGACTTGTGCCTACATTGGGAAGAGCGTGGCAGAACTTTATATACCCAAATATCATAGATGAGACATGGGGAGAGTATGTCACCTATCACCTTTACATGTTTATTAAAAAAAAACTAAATCTGTGCAAATCTAGCAAGTAAAATGTTCCATAAATATGAATGTATTATGGACACTTACTTCATACACCATTGCCTTAAGAAAATCTTTCTTTGTACATTTTCTGTTATTTGTTGTTGTTGTTGTTGGACTCTGAGTCTCATGGGACTCCCTAGTCTCATAACTCTCTGATCCTGGTTGAACTGAAGACCCTGAAACTTCTGTGGGGATCGCAACTCTGCTATTTGGGCTTCACTTCTGGAGACACAACATGGCAGCCATTATTCCTGCGCTCTTATTCAGTTTCTAGAAAGATTCCTTGGAACGTGTTCCAACTCATATGTGCTCAGAATTTGATGAATTTGTCTTCTTTCCAGACTCAGAAAATTTCCCTAACCTATTTTTCTCAATTCACTTCAAAAGAAGATTCAGGGAATAACATGGAGGAAACGCTGATTTCAGAGTAAGTCTGGAGCAGTCTTTGCCTTCCTCAATTCCTCTTCCAAATACTCTTCTTCCTCCCCCTTCATTTGTTCTTGCTCCTCCTCATCTCTCTCTCTTTCTCCCTCTTTCACTATTTCTCTCTCACACACACACAACACACACACACACACTCATTCTGCTCTCTCCATTGGTGTTAAAATTTAAAGTATTACTGTTAAAATAATTGTTCTCATATTAATGTTCCACAATTTTATTCATAATACTTATTTACAAAATAAAAAGAATATAAAAACTCAGAAAATGAAAATCTGTTAGGCTTATTGCATTGTAACCATTTTTATTCATTTAATACCTATAGCACATCTCAAAAAATAATCATATCACATGGTTCTAATAATGACAACAGACTTTTGAATCTAGTGCCATATCTACACCACCACCACAATCACATCACTTATTTTGGCAGCTAACTTGATAGGGTCAGCAATTAAAGTTGTTTCTTTTCTCTACTTAGTTATTTTGAGATTGACAATGCCACTTACATATTCTAACCTATGTTTTTAGAGAAGTTCAAAAATCCATTGTTGCTGAGTTAAATGAGATATCCATTTATCAGTCTCTTGAGAACCTGATTCTCATCTTTGTTCCTCAGATTATAAAGAAGGATTAACGTGGGGATAGTTATAACACAGAACATGTATGGAACCTATTCTGTTACGTAGAATGGCAGAACTAGGGTGCACATGCCCAGAGAGGCTATGCCATAGAAGAGAATTACAACCACCATTTGGAAGTTAATGGTTTTGATACTTTGAGGCAGTAACAATTATTATTCTCATTGTAGAAGTGAAGAAAACATGTGTGGAAGTAGATTTCATAAGGGCACTTAAATACAAAGTATGTTAGAGATGATTTTACTAATCACAGGTCTGATCACTAAAGAACAAATTCTATTTACAAATTGTATTAGTCTCAGCAGTCCCACCACCAATGCTGCAAAGCCATCAACTACAAAGATCGTCTTGGATTGTTGCTCCCTGGGAAGAACATGCTGGACTCAATACGCCCAGGTTCCCACCTGAAACAGGGAGATTATTTCTCACTTGATGAATCACATAAAGAAATGAAAATCAACAAGCAACTATAAAGTAGAGACACACTACAGGGTGGGGGAGAAGGGAGTAGGATCACAACAAGGGAGGTGGGAATTGTATGGGGACTATAACCAAGATGAAAATACATGCATTGTGCAAAAATGAAAAATGATGTAAAAAATATATAAAATAAAATTTAAAAATATATAAAAAATAAAAAATTTTTGGCAAGTCCAAAAAAAACATCATATTCATGGGTCTCCCTGGTGGCACAGGTGGTTGAATGCTGCACTGTGAAGTTGTCCACACCCTCTGCAGTGCGGGTTCAATCCTGACCTGCCAGGGAGATACCCACATGGCACGCAGACCTTTCCTGCCTCGCCCACTGCTCCCCTTAGCAATGTATTTCACTCACTCTGCCTGTTCTGTTCCCTGCTCTGTCTCTGGTGTATCCTCTCACCCTCCCACACCTCTGGGCTGCACTCCAATTCTCGTATGCATAAATAAATAAATCTTTTTTTTTTAAATCCTTAAAAAAAAAGAAATTATATTCATACATGGACCTACATGACAGCTATATGTTTAGAACATACTAATGAAATAAGTATGACACTAAGTTCATGAACTCTTATCTGGGATATAAAATAATCTTACTGTCAATTTTCTATGAATTGTCTCAGTTTGTTTCCAAGTTTCTGGGGCAGATCCATGTCTGCTGAATCTTCTGCTCCTGGAACCCCAGGAGGCTGGATGTTTATGTTTGGGACACAGGTCCTGCCTCTACAGACACAACATGGCTGCCATCATGTCAAGAGTCTCAGAGGCTCTAGGAAGCTGCCTTGAAAAATGATGTAAAAATATATAAAATAGAATAAAATAAAGTAAAATAAAATAAAATAAAATAAAATAAAATAAAATAAAACAATACTCCCAGGTGATTCTATGTAAGGCCCACAAAAAAATTACACTGTGTTTTTTTCTCAATTTTTAATTTTCATTATTTAATGTATACATTGTTTTACTTTTTCATGTAACATAAATAAATGACAAGTAAAAGATAGGTAGAAAGAACATTTTGTGTCACTTCCTGGGTTCTTCTCATTTCTCTACACACAAAAAAATCAATCAGAATCCCCGTTCTCGAAGGTTTATCTACATGGGTCTAATCATACAATCACAGTTTCCAGTTGCCCACCATGTTGGAGCTGCTGCTCAGATAGATACTACGTGGAGAGCACTAAGCATAAGGGCACCAGGAATCAGGAAGGCAGAATCGGACCATTTCTGCCTAGATATTCTTCTGATCTACAAAAGGACACTATATATTCTGACCATTAGGGGTAGAAATACATAGTCACAAATTTTTTTTTCTACAGCACTTCACTTTCTTTTTATTAGATAACATACCAAGTATGATACTCAATGAGACAAATGTGTTGTCTTCTTCATCACCCTCCTGAGGGCCTCTTTGATCTCCTTGTTCCTGAGACTATAGATAAAAGGATTTAACATGGGAATAATGATAACATAGAACACAGAAAGAAACCTGTTCTGTTTCGTGGAGTGGCCAGAACTAGGATGCATGTACACAGAGAGTGCTGTGCCATAGAAGAGGGTCACAACCGCCAGGTGGGAGGCACAGGTGTTGAAGGCCTTGGCGCTACCCTTGACAGAGGATAATTTCAGGATGGAAGCTGCAATGAAACCATACGATAACAAAACTACAACCATAGAACCTCCAGCAACACAAAGAATGATCAGAAAAACTATCATTTGACCAATGAAGGAATTAGAACAAGACAGACTAATAATTTCAGTGATGTTACAGAAGAAATTCTGGATGACATTGGGTCCACAGTAGTACATCTCAAAGCCAATGACTACTTCAATTAAGCTAGAAAGGAAACCACACCCAATGGCCCCAGCCACCATCTTCCAACAGAGTCCAGGCGCCATGATGGTCGAGTACTGGAGAGGTTTGCCAATGGCCACGTATCTGTCATAAGCCATGGCGGCCAAGACGAGGCACTCAGCCTGACCCATCCAGGAAGCCACAAGCCACTGGGTGGCACAGGCAATGAAGGAAATGACTTTTTTATCTTTGAAGAGGTCTGCAAGCATCCGTGGGCTGATGGAAGAAGTGTAGCAGATGTCTATAAATGACAGGGCACTGAGGAAAAAGTACATTGGTGTGTGCAGGTGGGAATCCATTCTGATAAGGATGATGAGACCCAGGTTCCAGAATAATGTCACAAGGTAAATCAGCAGGAAGACTGGAAAGAGACTAAGCTGCAGCTCTTTATCTTTTGAGATTCCCAGAAGAACAAACACGGTCACAGAAGTGAGGTTTACATCCCCTCCCATGGACTCACTTGGCATCATCTGCTGAGAAAAAGATGAAATAGGAATAGTTTAATTCTCAAAAAATAGAAGATATACTCTTCATTTTTCTCTACATGCAGCTGACTAAATATGCTTACAGGACTCATTAGTGCCGAGTGAATCTTGCCTCTTTGTATAATCACCAATCTTAACTGAAACTTTATCTTGAAAAATATTCTTACTCTTCCTATGGGACAAGACACAGTAGTTAGGCTGCATCAATGTTTTATCCAATAGAATATCTGGAATTCCCTTGTCCCTTACAAATTTACAATAACATTGCAATGGGAATTATACCAACTTAGGGTAACACTGTCCTGTTGCACAGGTGAAGCATGGTCACTTTAACTAGGCAGGCCCATGTGAACTCTGTTCCTGGGGAACACAAATTCCTCATTAAGTGCTACTAAAAACATCATTATTATCTATTTAGTTTGCGTGAGTCAGGTTCTCCACCTCCATTTACTGTGGCTGCTTCTCACTTGTGCCAGGGACCAGCAAGCACAGGAATGATTACACAGCCCATTGAACAGGCTGCCTTATCCTTAGAAACCTCTTACAGTAAAAGTTATGTTCCTATTGTACTGGATTCATTTTTAAGGAAATGTGTATCACATAATACAATGTCACTTTTTGATCACTCAGTTAGACTATATAATTTCTATTGATTACATCCTGGTAACAGAGGCAGCCATAACTAAATGTGTATGTGTGACCCATCACTACCCAATAACAGTATGGGGTGCATATTATTTCATTATCCCATAAGAACTTTCACCTTGTTAAAATCTGGAAAGCTGGGTGGAAAAAAATTGTAAATATATTCACTCTCTTTGATGTTTTTTTAATGTCCATCATTTCCCAAGAAACTGTGTAGAATGAATGTTGACTAATATAAATATTCATCTGAGATTTCACTGTGTAGATCTAGGTAATAAAATACCCTCCCCAATCAAAATTGCTAGGACATGTTGAATTTGTGAGTTCGCCACAACATGAGTTTTTGATAAGTCAGTATGTTATACAATGAAAACCAATGATGCCATATAAGAAAGGTAGGAAACCTTGTAGGAACAATACTACCTGCATCTTCATTAGGGACCTCTGGTATCTGTGTGCACCCACGCTAGGACCTAGAGATCCTTTGGGTCTCTAGAATTGAGAACGGAGATATATTGAAGTATTTCAAAAGACCAAAAATATTGTACATGAGATTTGACTATCTTTTATGTAAGGACACTTTTTTCTTATTACTCAGAAATAAAGCCATGAATTTGATTGGAAATCGAGTTAATAGTATTGTTTAAAACATATTCCCTAAGGTTATAACAAATGAGAAGGGTCCTTGGGGTAGATGTCTGCAAGGCATAGACAAGCCTGCTTTGCCTATAGGAAATTCTCCCTCAAATTCAGTACATCATTGTTCAGCACACAATTATTAATGTTTGCAAAGTGTCCATCTTTACAGATACCATCTCATTTGATTCTACATGACATATTATTTCCAGTTGATATATGGAAAGCCAGAAAGTGCAGAGTTCAGTATCAAGTCCAAAAGAAATTGCAGAACTAGATACAAACATCGGCCCTCACCCCAGAGTAATACCTGACATTAATCTTGTCTCTGAGGTCAGGGACTTTGGATAAGGAGGAAGACACCACAATGGGGGGGAGGTAAGGGAGGGAGACAGCAGTGCTGAACAACACAAAGGACCGAGTGTCACATTCCTTGCTCCCCACAGCCCCTGCTAGGAGGCCTACACAGCTGTGGAGACAGCACACAATCCTCTTATTTCTAAATCTTGCTTCTCACCTGGACCAAGATCCCTCAGGAATACACTCTTCTTGCCAAGGATGGAAATAGCATATTTCTTCCCTAAAAAATGTTTCAGGATGGACCCTGTTAACTCCAGGATGAGAGCTGTGAGCCATGAAACAGGTTGTTCACTGACAGCAAGAGAGATGCTCACAAGTGGAGAGTCCTCTAATATTTATTATCTTGCACAGCAGAGTGAGGGGGAAAGACAATTAGATGGAGGGAGCCTCCAGGCACCTGCTCTCTGGGGGCCTGTTCCATGGAGCTTTGGTCACAGCTAATCTGCCCAATTTTGTTACGTTATCTTTGGATACTTTCTTCCTCATAATCCTGCAATAATCTCATGGTTACAGATTTTGTTTTAACAAGCTTGGGGGCATTAGAGCTGAAAGTGTCTTAGGAACAGCACCATGTCAAACATTTAATTTCCAGGGAAGTAAATTGAACGAGTGGAGCAAAGGAATTTGCCCAAGATGTCCAGTCACTTGGTAAAATAGCTAAATAGGAATAAATTAAACATGTGGACACTTTCTTGTCTACCACCAATTTTATTTAAATTATATTGATACATATATTTTATCAATACCCTGACCCAAACTAATCATTATAGCATCCTGTGAATCATATGAGAATTATTCCCTATTCAAAAGAGGAAATTTAGGCAAGAAAGAATGCAAAAAAAATTTTAAGGCAGGATACCAACTGCCATAGTAACAATCCCAGGCAATGGTGTAGGCGATCAGGTGGATCTGTTCTGACACTTCCATTTGCTGCTGTGTGACCTCAACAAAGGAGCCCCTCCAAATCAGGTCATCACCTACACATGGGCAGGTAGTCATAGTTACATCATAGAGTAGCCTTTCGTGGAGAGAATCCTGTGAGATAATGTCTGTAAAGTACTTATCAGAGTGTGTATTACACAGGATGCCTTCTATTAACAGATGCCGTCATTTGTGTATTTTTATATTGTTCTTTCCAAATCATGCAGTATTCTTAACTCTTCATTTAACATCTACTTGAGATCATGCCACCAACCTTTCTTTCTTGGTTCTTTTTGAAATGGAGCTCATCTACCTGCTGTGATTAGGGATCAGGTCAGTTTTAGACAAGGTCCCATTCTAGCCTTGTTCTGCTTCAGTCAATCTTACTCCCGGGGAGAAAGCTATGGATGGACAATGATTTCATATTTGTTTAACACCTGCTAACACATTAGTGCATATAGTACCCTGACAAGAAGTGGAGTTTAACGATAATTGAATATATTCTTTTGTATGAGAACAGTAAGATATTTTTAACAAATATTATTGACTTAATATAGGTTGACATCATTGTTTCACCAACAGGAGTGCTGGATCCTCCCTTCAGGTGTTGCTGCCGCAGCTCACCCACCACCAGAGAACCCACAGTTCACACCACAAACCTCTCCCTTCCCACTGTGTCCTCTTCCCTCTCCCTCCCCCACTATCTCTGGCTCCCCCATTCCACAGTCAGCTCTCAAGGTACCTGAACATGTTCTTAAGACAATTTTAAAGATGTCCACTAAAGGTCAGAATGGGATGCCCCAGCCAAGCAATGCAGAACATGTTTCACCTCAGTGGGACTAATTTTGTTGCTCAAGTCATGCTTTTGGCATTCATAAGGTTTGTGGCTACATAGGGAAAACATGGCAGAGCTCACCATGCCCCAATGTTCTAGATGTGATATGGGGACAGTACCTCACCTATCATCTTTACATGGCTCTGAACAAATTAAATCTTTGCAGTGCTATAGAGTAAAAGTTTCTATCAATACAAATTATATTAAGGACACTTCATAAACTATTTTCTAAAGGATTTTTTTTACATTTTCTGTGAATTTTTGTGGCCCTGAGTCTCATGGGACCCCCTGGTCTGGTGACTCTGATCCCAGGTCAGACTGAAAGCCCTGAGTCCTCTGGGGGCTCACATCTCGGGGACATGGGTATTTATTGAATGTATTGAATTGAATTGTATTGAATGACACTTCCTTAGACACAACATGGCGTCACCCATCATTTCTGAGCTTCGTTCAGCTTCCATGTAACATGTTCCAGACTGATATGTGGCCAGAATGTGATGGCTTTGGCTTCTTTCTAACCTCAGAGAATTTCCTTAACTTTATTTTTTCACAATTTACTTTACAAGGAAAGACAAGGATAACGTGGAGGAAAAACAGTTATTTCAAAAAAATCAGGACCTGTCTTAGTGCCTCTCCTCTCTACTCTTACAAATACTCTTCTTCCTCCTCATCTCATGCTGTCTCTGTCTGTCTCTCTCTCTTGCACACACACACACAGCTTACACGCAAACACACACACCCATATTTACTCATGTATTGAATTTGTTGGTATTCCTTTTATGAAGTATTTATTTTTAAATAATTGTTCTCTTATTTAATCATAAGTCAGTTTATTGATAAGGTTTAACATGGGGATAATAATAGCATAGAACCCCACAGAACCTTGTTCTGTTTCGTGAAGTGGCCAGAACTAGGATGCAAGTGCACAGCGAGGACTGTGCCATAGAGGAGAGTCACAGCAGCCAGGTGGGAGGCACAGGTGTTCAAGGTCTTGGCGCTACCTCTGATGCAGGGTATTTTCAATATTGAAACTTCAATATCTCCAGACTGTAAAAGGGCAGCAAACAAAGACCCAACCCAATCAAACATAGATGTAAAGAAAGAGAATCATTTAGCACATGGATGGATTGATGCAAGAAAGGTAATAACCTATGTCACAGATGAAATGCTGAATGATATTTGGTCCACAAAGGTAGGAGATGAAAAGAAGTGACTGTTTGAGGTACTAATAAAATCAAGGAACACAAAACACAAAGAACACATAAACACAGAACATGAGACATTTTTCTTTTATTTATTTGTTTATTTCTTAGTTGTTTTGTTCCAGCGACTTTTGGAATTAGGATAACTTAACATTCATTACCAAAAGTAAATTGCAAAAAGAGCTTTCGTAACTAGAGTCCACAGAAAGAAGGTGGAGATTAAAGGGAAGGAAGGGCTATGTCCACATACCTGTGCTATTTGGTTGATACATGGTTTTCACTCATTTTAATGTCATTCAAATTTTGTATTGACATATCTTTAAAAATCTATGATTTTCTTGAAACAGAGGAACTGCCCACCACAAGCCCACAGTCTTGCATGGGACAAAAATAAATAGAGCTAGGTAAATGTTGCTTTATCTAGTCCCATGACCTCCTCCAACTTGATTCATCTATTAATGTTATCACCTTGGCCACCACCACATCTGTGCATTCAC